GGGGGTCACTTTCTATGTTGACGATGCACAACGCAGTCTTTTAATCATCATATCAGCTTTAATGAGGCATAGTTCACGTTCAATACAAGTCACCCTTGAAGGTGTGCAATTCAGAGTGTTTAATATAGTCACAGAATTGTGCAACATCACCACAATTGATTTAGAACTTTCCACCATCCCTCCAAAAGGAACCCCTCCCTCGTTAGGAGACAGTCTCATTTCCCCGACCCCTAAGGCCTAGGCAAACACAAATGCGCTTTCTATTTCTATGGACTGGCGTATTTTGAACATTCCGTGTAAATGGAACCATACAGTGTCTGACCTTCTGTGTCCGGCTTCTTTCACTCAGCAGAATGGTTTCAAGGCCCATCCATGTTGTGCCATGTGTCAGCCCCTCACTGATTTTGATTGTGAATAAAATCCTGTCGTAGGGCTGTAGCACAGTGCATTTCTCCTTTCCTCAGTGGGCAGACATTTGAGTATTTTCCCCTTGTTGGCTATTATGAGTATTCCTGCTATGAACATTCGTGTTCAAGGTTCACTTTTTCGGGGTGTATACCTCAGAGTGGAATTGCTGAGTCATATGGTAGCTCTCTGTTTCACGATCTGAATGCCCAGAAGAATTTTTTCCAAGTGACTGCACCATGTTGCATCCTGCAGCAGCATGTGATGGTTCCAGTTTCTCCACATCCTCACCAACACTCACCATCTGTCTTTTGCATTCTAGCTGGGCTATGGGTGTGAAATGATATCTCACTGTGGTTTGGGTTGGTATTCTCTGATGGCTGATGATGTTGGACATCTTTTCATGAGCTTAACGGCCGTTTGTCTATCTTCTTTGGAGAAATGTCTGTTCAGCTCATTGGCCCATTTTTCACTTGGGTTATTTGTCTTTTTATAACTGAGTGGTCAAGTCCTTTACATATTCGAGGTATGTTTCTTATCAGATAGGCGAGTTGCAAACTTTTCTCTATATTGTGGATTGTCTTTCACTTTGTTAATGGAGTCCTTTGAATCACAAAAGTTTTGCACTTTAGCGATATCTAATTTATGCGTAATAGAGTCTTACTCGTTGGAAATGATTTAGACATTAAATCATAACCTCATCAATAGTTTGGTGGTATAAAATAAAAGTTAAACTTGAAAGGGTCAGGGAAAGGTTTGAATTAGTTTATTTCAAGATTTGCTGTAGATCCAAAGGAACTCAAAGGGAAGATATCATTTCCCTGTTCAAATATTTCTCTATTGTCCTTTTAATGTTCAGTTAATCAGGAATCAGAGCCCCTCCCTCATTTCTGATATTGGCAATAGGTGTTTCTCTCTCTTTTATTTTTCCAATTAGCCTGGCTAGAGGTTTATGCATTTTTTGATCTTTTCAAAGACCTAGTTTTGCTTTTTGGATTTCTCTATTGACTTCCCATTTCCAATCTCATTAATTTCTGCTGTAATTTTTATTATTTCCTTTCCTCTGTTTGCTTTGGGCTTCCTTTGTTCTTCTTACTCTAGCTTAGATATTGTGTCAGATCTTTTTTTGTTCTAATATGTGCATTTACTGCAATACATTTCCCTCCAGGTTCTGCTTCCACTGCATTCCACACATTTTAATAAGTTGTATATTTGTTTTTATTTGGTGGAAAATATTTGCAATTTCTCTTAAGACTTCTTTTTTGGTCCATATGTTGTTTAATCTGCAAATATTTTGGGCTTTTCCAGCTATCTTTCTGTTTGTATTTTCTATTTTAGAGTACTCTTTGGTCTGAGAACATACTTTGTATGATTTCTGTTGTAAATTTGTTGAGGTGTGGGATGTTTTCACCCAGAAGGTGATCTATCTGTGAATGTTGTGTGTGAGCTTTTGAGGACTGTGTATTCTGCTCTTTTGGATGCAGTGTCTTACAGATGGTCATTAGCCCTGTGGGTGGATGGCTCGCTTCACTTCATCCTTGCTGATGTTCTGCCTGCTGCATCGACGGTTCATGAGAGAGCAGG